CTTTAATTGATAAAATGGCCTTTAGTTCTCTGCCCCTAGAGATAGCTCTGGTCTCTTGAGTTCCTTTAGTGGATATGCTCTTTCACACGTATCCTATCTCCTGATGGTGTGCTCCATTAGCTATTGCTGCTTTTAATATTTTGGTCTTTCCGTCTCAAGCAAATTTAAAACTCCTCAAATGGAGACACTGTCTCTTTTTATTATGTCTCTACCATGACATGTGGCCCAGAACTGAGTATCCATGTGGTAATTCATCTTCACTAATAATTAGCATGAGATCTAGATAAGATGTTCTTCAGGTCTTAGTGGCCTGGGCTGTCAAAGTTGAAGTATGGCAAGGTGTGGTGGGGCATGCCTGTAATCCTAGAACTCTGGTAGGCTGAGGCAGGAGGATCAAAAGTTCAAACCTAGCCTGGGGAATTTAGCAAGACTTGTTGTAAGTAACTAGGATTCCAGGAATGTGTCACTATGTCTGGCTTAAAAGGGCTTTATTCAACTATTTTTCCCAAAGTACCTTTTCCCTCTCAAGTGAGTCAAAGCAACAAAACTGAGGTATTGGAAAAAGCAGTCACACCTGTCTGGGATACTGAGCTGAAGTAGATGCAGATACTCCTGCTCGCATGCCAATGGCATTGTAAGTACTCAGCAATCAAGAACGCTGGTATCCCTCGGAGAAGACACAGCAGCATGCCCACCCTCTCCTGACTTCCTCAGTAGTGCTACTTTGTCACAGTCTACTGTCATCTGTCCTGTACTGCTCATCTGCTGCCACCTGTCTTATCTTTAATTAGTTTTCCCCCCCTCTTGGTACAAATTTTCTGTATTAGCTTTTCATTCCTGTGACCAAATATCTGGGAAAAACCAACAGAGGAAAGATTTATTTCAGCTTATATTTCAGAGTTTCAATCCATGATGTGCTGGCTCCAAAGGGGAAACATCATGGTACAAGTGTGTGCTAGAGGAAGAGCCAGAGAAATAATGTACCTCTCAAAGAATGCCACCAGTGTGTGACTTTCCCACCTGACTCTCCTACTCCTAATATCTGCTTCAGCTGTGAACACATCCATGGGTGGCCCACTGATGACATGCACCCTCACAATCTAATCACGTGTGTAGACATGTTAATCCATTCAAGTGACAAAGATTAACCATCATAACATGCGTGGAAACATTAGCTGGTTACCCACTAATAATGCAATTTATATATACAGCACATTTTCTTATATCATCCCTTTGCTTCTTTATTCCCTCCTTTTATTGGTGCCTATTTGCAATACCTAATATTTACTTTTTCAGGGGAAAGGGTAGATATAGTATACATACCATATCTTGATCATTTTCTCCCGTAGTTCTCTAATTCTTCACCTGTATTCACTAGAATCAGGAAAAATTCCCTCTGTGGAAAATATTGTGTCTTTAAAACAGTTGTATTTTAAATGAACTTCCTATAGACATTCTAGTTCACATTTTTCTAAGACTGACTAGTTCATAATTCTGAATTTTCTTATTTCTCTGGTATTTTTAGTATCCCATCAATTCCACATCTGTGCTAAGTGTCTCTCATTTACACTTTTCTGGTGCACTTGCCTGATAGGACAAGGCACAGATCATTCCAGGGATCACATGACTTCTTAAGCAATTCCATCCTTGCCCCCAAACAAGAACAAAAGCCAGTGGATGCTGCCAATGTTTCTCATTTTTGAGGGAAAATTTCTAGTTTTCAAAAATGAGCTTAATACTACTAGTTTTTTAAAATAAATGTAACATGGTATTTTTTTTAAAGGCTGTGTGATAAAAGGTGTCCATTGATGATGGATTAGCTTTTAGAAGAGCTGTGTGGATAGCCACATGAACATTTTTGTTTGAGAATATTTGCTCCTTGAAGATAAAGACATAAAGTCAATACATAACTATTCGCAGAGGCTTAAAGAGTGGTTTTGCTCATTCTCAGAAAAAAAGCCATGCTAGATACTTTCTCAGCTTCTCTCTCCCTTCACAGGTTGGGGACTCTTCATCCTCCTATTGGGGCCCAGTGGTAGCTATCGCTGGTCTTCCCTATCCCAAGCACAGGGCCAGACCTGCAAGCTGGGACAGCTCTACAGGTTAAGCCCAGGCTTGGCCATCAGGAGACTGTCCTGCCTCTGCACATCCCCCTACCTGGTTGCTCAGGGAGCCAGGGCCTCTCCTTGTACCCAGGCGCTGGGGCTGGGTGCTCTGGGAGTGGCTTCCCACTATTTCTCACTGCATCTTCCTCTCCATTCTTAGGCCAACTAGAGAGCTGCCTTTTTGAAATTTCACCTTTATGGAAATTCCCAAGACCTTCGGAGCTCTGAGGTTAGTGTGTCTTACTTTTGAGTACAGTCATAGATTTGGTTTTAAACATGTTTTCTACCACCTGGGGCTACTCTAGGTGGCAAGGAGAGGTAGCACAGACTGCTCAGCTGGCATTGTGAGACAGAAGTGTTATTCTATTTTTTGATTCATAGCTGGTTGTGATGCTCCTTTTACTTTTATGCAGTAAAATTTTAAACCCATTCCCTTGAAATAAGGCAAAGTAACACAAAGGAAGACAGCCCAAACTGTGTCACCCTGGGGTGATATTCACAATGACTGCTGATATTCAGCAATTAATATGGGCCATGGAAGCTGGACACGGTGGCAGGCACTTCTAGTCCCAGCACTGGGAGGCTGAGGCAGGTGATTTGAGCCCAAGAATTGGAGACCAGACTGGGCCACACATCAAACCATGTCTTAAAACAAAAACCAAAACCAGGGGAAGTGCTATGGTTTGAAACAAGTACTTTCTTCTATGCTGTTCTGAGATACACAAAGATTTTCCTTGAAACAACTCAAGGGCTCCCCTCTTGCTATTATCCTTGTTCTTTGTCCCTCTTTCAGTTCCCAGGATGTAAGGTTCAGCCCACTCATGGAAAATGTAAATAGTTTTCTTAATATTTTCTCCTATTTTATGGCTGTGAAATCTCTCCTCTCCTTTGGAATGTTTTCTATTGTATCTCTTATCAAGTCTGCACCCATGGACAGAGAAGAGAAATCCCATTTGCTTCACATTCCACAGGGCATTCACTGACTCATAACAAAGGAGGAAACGAAAGCTTTTCTTCCTCTATTGGTATAGTACAGTCCCCCACTTCGACTTACAAACGAGCTCTATTCTGAGAGAACATTCCTGAGTTGGATTTGTTGGTAAGTCCGATGAAGTGAGTCTTATATACCTTTGACACAAATATACAATGTAAAGCATAAAAATGCCAAATACACACACAAGTAAGTCCCCAACTCTACTGTACTACTGTATACTACGGCACTGTACAATAAGCACACAGCAGCACAACTGTGACAATGTCTCACAGATGTGAGCTACTTCCGAAATCTGTTTGCATCTACGGATGTTAGTAATGTGACGTCTGTTCCTATCTGTGAAAGGTTGCAACTCAAATGTTCCTAAGTTGGGGGCTTAATGTAACTACCTTATAAATAGTTCTTCTCCTCATTGTTTTGTTTTTTCAGTGCTGAGCACTGAACCCAGGGCCTTGTGCACCCTAGACAAATGTATTCCCACTGAGCTACATCTCCAGTGTCTGGATAGTTTTTTAAATGTAGCAACCTGACTTTACATCCGATGTCTATTACAGTTCATATCTGCCAAAGTCTCTCAGACTGGTTCCTACTCAGTATTTTATCCGTCCTTTGCTTTACATTTTTAGGTGAGTCTATTTCAGGCTTCCCAATAAAAGACAGAAGAGAGGCCAATGGCCAAGCTTGGCCACATACTTTTTGTAGGATCCCAATTTTGGAAAAAAAAGTAGTCACTGCGGTCAAAGAACGAAGAGGGTGTTGTGAATGTGTTACAGGCACCTCCTTTCCATGCAAAGCACTGTGTAGTATGAAAGTACAGGAAGTTTAATGCAGCGCAGATGGGCTTTTGCTTGAAGCAGGCTTAGAGCCCTCAGTCATCCAGCCTGTTTTACCATGGGCCCCCGTGGTGACGGCTGGCTGAGATATCAGCACCTGTGCTGTGACTTCGCATGCCTTTCACTCACTTCAAGTAGAAAAGAGGGCAGTGAGTCAACAGTGTTTGGGGAGTAGTCACCCACTGAGAAAATTGCCTCGATGGCACTCACTCTACTCCTCACAAGGGATGGCAGCCATCAGAGGCACACCTGGCCTGTGTGTGACACTTCCTTCTTGACACAGCAGAGCAGCCTGGACAAATAATCAGGAACATTCTTATCCCAGCTGATTGAGATGATGCTTTTTCTGGGCTTCTATAATTTGTAAACTAATGTCTGAATATAAAGAGCTATTATTTCTTTTTCATTAACAATTTTTTATTGTTTTGTTTTGTGGTGCTGGGGATTGAACCCAGGGACTCATGCATGCTAGGCAAGGGCTCTACCACTGTGCTACATCCCCAGCTTGTGAAACAAATTTTTTTAAAAAGTTGTTTTAGACACTCACAAACTCTCTTTCTCTCTATACGTATGTCGGTATGTGACAATTGATGTATTCTTTGAAAACTTAATTCCCTAGACTGTTACATTCTAGAATTGTTAAGATTTATAATAACATGAAAATGTCTCCATCCGTATTTTCTTCCACTCTTCTAAAACAGTCTTTCATCTAAGTGGGTCAGTGACTCAATTATTCACATGAATGTGTGATACTTAAAAGGAGGATGACTAAGGACAGGCTGGTTCCAAACAACGTGGATTTTTCTACTTAAAAACAAATATATACAGAGAAAACAATTTTACAGAAAACTATACATTAGGGAGTAATTTAGTAAATTGGTCTCAAATACAAGAAAATACTGTTTATAGCTAGGAAAAACAAATGATTTGCCGAACTTACACTTCAGTGCTCCTTTATTCAGAGAATGAAACTACTCCACATAAATAAAATATAGATACCTCAATAGCTACTTTTGTAACTTAAAATTGTCTGTTCTTTCTCTACCAAATCAAGCAAGCGCAATGGAGTAGAAGTTCTGTGTCTGTCACCAATCCTTTATTGAAACTGGTAACTTACACACTTTATAACAGAACAACAAAAATAACGTTCGGTATGTACGACCATCATACGGACTATCTGACTATACACAAGGCAAAGTGAGGACACAGCTAACCGCATCGTCTGTGCACACAGACACCAAACAGACAACATGTGCACATTACAGTGAAATGACATCACAGGTCCAGTGGAAACTCAGCGTAATACAAAAAGTACTGATCTATTGCAAATGACATCTCTCTCAACGCCCTGCTCCTGCTCAGTAGTCATCTACCCAGAGTCGGACGCAGAGATTGGTTGTGTGGCTATAAGTCTCTTCAGTGAGACCACCTCTGCGGATAAGTTTGCTATCCCCTGCTTTACGTACAAGTTCTCTGAGTCGGAAACTTTGTACCCATTGTCTTTAATTTCCACCACTCCAGTTTTGAAACCACTCTGAGTCTTGCCGCTCAGGTCTTTTGGATGCCAGTGTTCCGATCTGAGAGACCAATCTTGAATGCTCGTCACCTGCACTGAGAAAGGAGGGAGGGAAGAATGTACCATACTCGGGGCGTTATGCTTTCCGAGTTCAAAATGTCTTTTAGATGTCATGTCAACAGGTGAGGAGAGTTTTTGAGTGGCCTCAAACTCGTTATCAAAGGCTTCTACTTTGATCTGCATGGCTTTGGCTTTGATCCGAAGCTTGTGTGGCAAGGCAGACGAGTTCACCTCGGGGACTTTCACCACCGTGGTGTGCATGCATTTGAGCTCCACTGAGGAGTGGATGGGGCCCTTGGGGACCTGCTGCTCATCTTCCCCGTCAGAGGACTTTCCCACCACCGCGTCATCGGTCTCGGAGGTTCTTGGAGAGTTACTAGAGGATCTGTTGACTTGCAGGAGAGGAGGAGAGTGTGAGTAGCTGGCAAAAGAGCTCCCCATGTAGCTCTGGTAGATGGCAGCCGTATAGGAGCCCTGGTCGTCTCTCGGCTCCCTTGGGAAGGTCTCCAGCTCCACCGGCTCCTGCTTGATGACCTGGAACTTGCTCTCAGGACTTCTGCAGCTGCCCTGCACAGGACTCTCCTGCGCGTGCTCCCCAGAGGATGCCTCAGACATGTCAGACATGGAGCTCTGTGGAGAGTGCTTGATGACAGAGATACAGCTGCCCGACACCAGGCCAGGCTCGTGCTCATCCCCGAAAGCATTCCCGGATGTGGGCTTAGCGGTCTGGTAGTCTTGAAAGTACACAGCTGTGGAATTACTGAGCTTCTGGATCTCCTGAGCATATGCTGTGGAGCTAATTAAACCAAACTTTAATTTTAGGGAAAGTAGTTCAGCTTTTAAAGTGGCGTTTTCTTCTCCCAGTGCAATTAGTTTGTTCTCTAAAACCAGGTCATTCAGCCTGCGCTTCTCACGAGAACGTTTGGCGGCTTCGTTGTTTTTCCGCCGCTTCTCCCAATACATAGCATCCTTCTTCTCATCGGGAATGAATTCCCGTTTCCTCCGGCAGGCAGAAGATTTGTTTTTGCCCACACTTCCCTCACCCAGAAGGAGCTCTTCCGCTGTGGACAGGTCCTCCGGCACCTCGGGCAAGGCTGCAGTCAGCACCATCATCTTGTCCGTGTTGCTGGGACTGTCAACAGATGCCTGCTCCTTTTTGATGGCCTGCATCTTCCTCAGCTGCATCAGAAGCAGCCTTACCCTATATATACAGTGGAGGAGAACAAGTTATTTTCCCAGTATTCTCAAATGCTTTTAAAATCCATCAACAGTCTTCTCGTGTTCTACTTTCTGGGGAAAATCTGTCATGCTCCTTTTACTGAAGAGGGTAAGGTCTTCTGGTTATCTGCAACATACAAAAATAAATAATTACTCATTGGGAGAAATGTTGGTTGCCAATTACACATAGGGAATTGTGCTAAGCATTTGGAGAATATAAGCATAAACAAGACAGAGCTCTTTCCTTCCAAGAGTTTGCAACCTTAAGAAAAACTGAAGTACTCCAATATCTCTATGTAAAGCCATAAAGGTCCTATCTGCAGGAGGTTGTGTGGTCTAGGAGAGTAAGAAAAAGAACTAGATAAAACCACCTTTGAGCCAGGAGAAGCAGAGGATGGCTGTGTGTAACGAGAACTGGCCAGTGTGGCTGCAGGGGTGGGCTACTACAGGAAGGAAATGACAGGTCGCCCCTGGTTGGTGAGTTTCTAAATAACACTCACACATTGCGGCACTTCTGAATTATTTCAGATAACATTTATATGGTTGCTAAGCAAACATGCCTTCCTTTTCAAAGGAAATCCAACAAGTGACGTTCTCTAATATCTGTAAACAAGTTTTGCAATCAAATAGAATAAATCACAAACAGAGCTGAAGTTTTATTTCCAGAAAACTAAAACCTACATGAACAACTAACTGAGTTGTTGGTCTGTACCTGCATCTTCACGTGGACATCAGCCATCACATCTGCCTACTGGGCTCACAGCCCTGCAAACTCCCCAGTGACTCATCCCCCGCTCAGTTGACAAGGACCCTCTCCACACAACCAGCACCTCAGAAGCAACTATGCTTATAGATTAGAAATGTCCCTTTTTCTGATTCCTTCAAATTATTTATCAGAAGGAAATACTGAAGCCTTCAAAGTACTTCTCTGGATCCTGAAAATTCTGTCCTAATAGGATGCAGTTATATAGTAGCTTTGGACACTTACTATTCAAAGGGATTTTTCTTTTAAAAGTAGAGTACCCTCTCGAAACTCAAGACAATGTAATTATGGAAAATACTTCTTTCAGCTTTATAAATTAGTTTCAAATAAAATACAAGAATTCAAAACATAGAATCATCAACTAGTTTCTTTTCCCATGAGTGAAATATTTATAATGTGCATTTGGCCTGACATTTGCTTTTTTAAATTTTTTTAAATTGTGGTGCTGAGGACCAAACCCAGGGCCTCACACATCCTAAGCAAGTGCTCTACCACTGAGCTACACCTCCAGGTCCCTGACCTTGCTCTGATGTAAGATAATAAATCCATATTATAGGTCAGTAACACTTCTTTCATGGTAGTTTGGGTCTGTTTCTAGATGCTGATTCTCTGTCCAATTTTCTAGTTGTCAATGCTTTTCATAAAGTAGACCTGACCAGCAACTCTTTGCTAGGACCATCTGTACGGACTGGCACTCTCCATCCTGCCATATTAAAAAGATTTAATGTTTTTGTTTTATGTCACTATTTCTGTCTTACACATAGTTTCATAATGACTAGTAAGTTCAACTTTATCAATTGGTAAAGCCTGCCAGTCTCTTTTTACCTTTTCCAGTAGCAATAGAAGGCATGGTGTAATAATTCCAAGATCAGAAAGAATAAGGGGTTCCTTTAAACTGAGCCAATACACACCAGGCAATGTCTGGTCACAGCTCAGAGAAACATGTGACTATTAATTCCAAGTTTCTGTTTGTCTTCTGATAATGACACTTTAAAGGACAGAGGGCAAGGAGTGCGTCACAGTGGGCCGTGGTGTCACAGAAATGGAACCTCTATTGATCACTTAGGAAAACACGTTTCCTATCATTTCCACTTCGGTTCTATCTTCAAACATGAAGCCCCATTTTCCTTTCAGTATTAAATAGAGTCGTTCCTCCTGCTGAAGTTTGTATTCTGCGATTCGGAATTAGGTCTTCACCCTTCAAGTGAAATCAACGCAAAGCACAGAGAAAGAAATTCCAGCTCATGCAGGATGGTGATCTTGACCTTTCACAAGGTGCTTCTCAAACCTCCACTAAATCCTCAGGTGCTACTTTTTATTTTGTTTTCAGTACTGGGAAACAAACCCAAGACCTTTATATTTTGAAAAGGGGGTCATGCTAAGTCTTTAAGTTGCCCAGGCTGGGCTAAAACTTGTGATCCTCCTGTCTCAGCCTCCCAAAGTACTAGTATTACAGGGATGTGCCACCCTGTATGGCTAGTACTACTTTTTAAAACTTCTAGTTTTTAAGTATCATATTGTAGGCCTGGGGATTTAGCTCAGTGGTTCTGCCGCCTGCCCCCTAAGCGCAAGGTCCTGAGTTCGATCCCCAGTACCACACACACACACACAAAAAGTATCATATTGTACCCCTTGGACATTACCATTCTGGTAATCCATTACCTGGTTATTTTTTCCACTTGAGAGAGAGTCTATCTCTTGCATGGACTTTCCTGTTTCTTTAAAAAAAAAAATCATACTTCATTAACATACCCCTCCATTCTGTCTTGGTTAGCCTTCCTAAACTTTACGTGATTTCTCATCACACAGAATAAGTTGAAACCTTTTTCAACCTCCTGGCCCACAGGTGTACACGACGAACAGGTATAAACCTTGTACAGGTGGGGACTGGCAGCTGTCACCATGCTGTGTAGGGAAATAATCCTTTCATTTAACTAAAATAATAACTAAAATAATAATTTCATCTTAAAATTTCCTTAACCTTTTTCTTCTACATGTCTAAATAAGGTACATTGGATTTTTCATCTCTACAATTTTGTTGGTACATTAAACCTGAACACCCTGTAATTCTAGCTACGTGGGAGGCTGAGACAGTGGGATCTCAAGTTTAAGGCTAACTAGGCAACTAAGTGAGGCTGTCTCAAAATAAAATAAAATAATAATCATAGTAATAATAACAATAATGATCATAATAGGCTGGGATCAGCCCCCCTGGGTTCAATCCCCAGCACTGCAAAACACACAACTCCAAAACAAAACAAAACAGCAGTCTTATAGAAAGACTCGTTTCTTTTTCAGCTTCTTCCCACTTGCAGCTCACTGCCTGTTACTATGAAAGTATACAACTCACTGCTTTTGTAACTCCATCGGCAAATCACACACTCTGCTAGGGCATTTCTTGTTGTATTATTTATCAAAGAATCTTGTGGGAGTGGAGTTTATCAGCATTGTAGGGTAATGTGGAGGTGCTGGTTTTGTACACTGTGCATCTTCTAAGCATTTGCCTTTATGCTCCTGTGAAGGGGTCTTGGGCTAATATTAAAATATATTTGTATTCCAGCAACGAACTGAAGGAATTAGGTGCTCAATGCTGTATTGATGACCACCCATCCACCTTACAGAACAATGTCTGATAACTACAAAACTTTTGCATGGTTTTTTTCTTTTTGGTACTGGGGATCGAACTTGGGTCCTTGCGCTTGCGCAGCAGGCGGCAAAACCACTGAGCTAAATCCCCGGCCCAACAAAACTTTTGCATGGTTTTAAAAAATATTTCTGTGTGAATCCTAAAGGGGGTGTTTCACTTCTTAGTGGAGTCTCTTTATTATACTGGATTTATATAACATACATGCAGCGCCTACTTGTACTGAGTGCTGAGCTAGGGCCAAGGTTCAGGCTTAGGGTTGCACTGGCACGGGGCCTGCAGGACAGGGTGGTCACTTTCAATAGTGCTGCCTGTTTGGTACAGTGACAGTAACAAAAATAACCACTGGTGTACTGAGGTGCCCCCCCACCCCCAGGAGGGGTGGGCTGAGCTGCTTTATTTCACTGACTTTCACAGCAACCACTTTCAGATGAGAAAGCTAAGGCTCAAAGAGGTGATGCCACTCGTCTAGTACCACACAGCTCATTCGGTGGGAAAGCTGAGATCCCAGCCCGGGGTGGGCTCCAATCCCTGCAGCCCAGTCTTGTGGTCTCGGATACATGCAGTCCCTCCCCAGTCACCCTCATTTCTGAGTCACATACGCACCATCACCAGGGCACATTAGATCTTGTCCTAACTGCAGATACTGTCCTAACCCAACACAGGTAGCACCTAGAAGTGTTTTCCATCTTCCTCAGGGGAAGCTGGTACTTAATGAAGCAAGAAAACTTTATTTTCATATCTCTGAGGAAATTTTATCTCTTAGATACTACCTATGTCAAAACAGGGAAAAAGCTGTGGACATTGTCACCTGTGACTTCTTTTCCACAAAAAACCAAATGTGCATCTGTTTTCAACAAGGGCAGTGGCGGTATCTCCCTGACTCTAGCCTCTCATTTCATAGAGGAGAGGCCAAAAGACTGTGACCAGCCTGAGATCACACAGCAGTTAACAGAGCAGGGTCCAGACTGTTTATATCCTTTAATAATAAACTTAAATGAAAGCTGATGCAAAGGTCATTTACAACACCTTCTAAAAACATCAGCATATATGCTAACCTGATGACTTTATTTCAAATCTCAGTATTTTCCTTTATGATTAATTTAACAATTACTTCATCTGTGCGTCATCTTTTTGAATCAACATTTAATGCCATGGTACATTAGTCATTGCTTATGTTTCTCTGATGAATAACTGGCCCTAAATGCCAATTCTGTGATGTTTGGATATTTGGCATGGTTAACTCCATTACGCCTATTAGGTGATACAACTGCTTCTTAAGAACACAAATGAAAAGAAAGCTGTGAGAGTGGAGCCTGCACGTACCAGCTGAGACGCTTCTCCACACTAAAGTGACGGTGACGGTGCTGTCACTGCCCCATGCCTCTCTTAACATCACACTGCTGCTACAGCTGCTGAGCTTATTAAGTCGGATGCCCCAAACACTGCTTGTGATGAAAAGACCTGATTCAGAAATTCCTCCCAACAAATACAAGTTTACAACCTAAGCTGTAAATCAAATTTATCCTTGACAAGTTACTTAGTATTTAAGAACTGTATCTTCTTTCTTCTCTACTTGATGCCTCACAGAAATAATGTTGGATAGTTCACTCTTTTTCCCAGACAGAAGAGAATAAATTTGTTTGAAGCATCTAAAATCTTACCAATATCTCAGACCTTCTATTCCACTATGAAACATGTTGTGAGTAATTATCTCTTAAAGGGCATCTGTTGTTGCAACTGCTTCTATAATATATTTTGATTTTAACATTCTGTCAATATACGATGAAGTATGATTTGATATAATGTTTTGCAAAGATTTTTACAGAAAGATGTCTCATTTTCCTCTATTTTCTGAATGTATTGTTAACTCTCTCAGATGTTAACATAAATACCATTAAAGAAAAAGTTGTTTTTATGATACACCTAAGCTATGTTAAACTATAAATCATCTATCTCTCCACTAAGAAGGCAGCTGCTTTTTTTTTTAGGTAAGTGCCATTTTCACGAGAAACAAAAATTAACCTATCAATTTTGTAGCTCTTTATACTTTTAAACTAACAATACTAGCAAAATGTTAGCCTATACTTTTTTTTAAACTGTGGGTAAAATCCAGGATGTTTACATCATTGAAATGCTTTATTTTTATGAGTAATAAGGGAATCTAGTATTTAAAAGCAAAATAAAAGAACTCACATGTTCAACGGTGGGAGGATGGAGGATGCAAAAGTTTAGTCAGAAACACTGAAGTTGCAAGGGAATTTTCTAATCTCACTTCAAAGGAAAAGGCTCTTCAAATGGAGAAATCTACAGTAAAATTCTCTAGCTGTCCCCCACATCTGATAATATCATTCTGCGTCAAGTAAGAAACTAAACCTCACGTTAGAGAAAGATGCACTGGACCAGGACAAGGAGTGCAGGTACGTGCCCCACCACACACACTTTGCCAGCATTTACTCCACCACAGCTAAACGCTGACCTACTTATTTCCTATTTGGGTACATCTGCAAATAAGTGTTTCAGAACCTGATTGAACTTACTATAAATGAAAATATTTCATGTTCAACAAACATCTATTTGAAATTTGGATTTAAAGTTAATAAAAATAACCATATTGCATTTCATCACAGCACTGACGCAACTCAGTAACTGAAATATGCAAGTGCATTTTGACATTCTTTGTAAGAGACTGATGTTTGTAACCTAATGCACAATGAACTTAATTCTGAAAATTGTATAGAAGAAGAGTAGGCACAACAGCACATAAAGACAATCAGTTGGCTGTGGTGGCACATGCCTGTAATTCCAGCACTCTGCCAGGCTGAGGCAAAGAGGAGTACAGCCTGGGCAATTTAGCAAGACCCTGTCTCAAAGTAAAAATAAAAAGAGTGGGTGTGTAGTTTGATGCGAAGGCCCTGGGTTCAATTCCCAGTACCCTAAAATAAAAAACAATTCACTTCATGTCTTGAAAAAGAGAGATACTCTCCACTACAGAAGGAGAATAATGGTGGGCGGGCAGGTGGAATAGTAATATATATTTTTTAAATCTACAGAAACTTCAAAATGGAGATCACGACTCTTCTTGAAATGTCTGAAAAGATAACTGACCGGCCTAGCAACTAATCAGAAATCTTAAGGAACACCAGCAAACCCTCAATCACCTAGTTGAGGGCTGTGATGAACAAGTACTTACTATATGGAATACAGAAAAATGCTGGGGGGAAATGGTGTGGGCTGGGGAGGGACAGGGTAGAGAAAGTTCAGAAGAATCATCCTAATTCTCCCTAGGATGACTTTTTAATTTCTCGTTAACTTTTCCCTTCAGCAGATGATTGCAAATGTCACTGATTTTACTATGTGCCTTATGAATACAGTGGATTAAAAAATGTTTATTTTTAAGGTTTATTTGAAGGCCACTTAATTACAGTTTAAGATCCCCCGAAAGTTAATAAAAGATACCATGTTCTGATAACTAAAAGGCTTATAAACATCACTCTATTGCAATGAAACTGAGGCCTCAAAGCACAGATTATTAATGAATGGCATCTAGTAAATCCCTACTAAACTTAAAAACAAGCTTATGCTCTCTAATTAAAACTGTATGAAAAAAATTTTAACTACAGGAAAGTTATTTGCAAAGAAATGTGAAAGATAATTGGAGTGATGGTAATAAAAATTCATTTTGAAACTGTGAAACTTATGTAATGTCTGTGATCAAAGGTCAGTGTATTGCAACATTCTCATACAAGTCCAATCTGGATAAAAATCAACTGAAATATAATTTAGAAAAATAACAGGATACCAAACAATGTGCTAACCCTGTGAAATACAGACAAACCTTACAAAAACAACAAAGTGAGGATTATAGGAAATTTCAATGACATTGTTTCTGTTATATTTGAATTGAATCCCAATGTGTGCTCATTCAACAGAAATTAAAAATACTCAACTTTTAACAGTATCAACGCCATCTGGATTACAATGGAAATGATGAAGTATGTGCGATTTTTAACTTGGGTAAAAATAAAGCTGAGGCACTATGACTGCACCTTTTCCACCCCATGCCCCAGCCACATCTGCATTTCAGAATTGCCTCTACTGACAAGGGGAAGGTCAACTGGAACAGTCCAAGCAGGGTGAGTCAGGCGTTGCTCAACGTGTGAAAGGGCTCTCACAGAGCGTATTAATTTCCAGGGTGTTGCATCATAGTGATGTTATAATCGCACTTCACCAAGATAAGCTCTAACACAGAAAGGAAATTGTTTCAAAAACTACAGTGATCTTGCATTCATGCTCACTGAAGGGATGGAATAGAAGGGAGGGGGATGACATGCACAGCTGCCCATCTTTTAAGCTCTGGGCTTGGGTTACTACTGGTGAATTTTCCCGAACTCCCACTTCCTTGTGTATAAAATGGACACAGGGACAGTCCTCCAGCTGTGCTTGGCACCTGCAGTGTTTAGTCAACCTCAATTCTGAAGAATGACCAGTGTGAAGGTAATGATGAAGGTAATACGGTTCTAGCTTTTCACCATTCTTTCTGAAGCTCTGTCGTGTGTTGCAAGTATCAGTGTGAACTGGGTGAAATTTAATTTTAGGTGAGTCAAAAACTCAGTCTGGGAGGGCTTGGCCTTAGTTTTCAACCACACAAAGCCGAGCACCCCCTAACCAGCCCCTGCTGACCTCAGGCCTCCTTTTAGAAGCAGTGGGCACTCAGGCCCAAGGATACAGGTCATAGAAAGTTCCAGAGAACTGGACAGGGCCTGGCTCTTCTACCAACAGCAATTCTTTTTTCTTCAAACTTCCCCAAAACACCAACCCGGGAACTAGGGCATTTGAGGGCCTCTGACCCTACTAGAAATTCCCTTCCACTTGAAATTAACACTTATTTTCAGAAGAAAAGCAATCCACCATTTTAACAAGAAATTATCTCAAAACAGGCTTTCACAGGTCTAACACCAACATCAACCCTCAGTCACCGCCCAGAGGCTCAGGCACAGGAAAATGACGGTGAATTCCTCACAGGAGCTCAGGGTCCTGGTCAGCATGCATCCTTTAACTGCCCGGCTCCCTTCACAGGTTTTATTTCTTTGGTTTACCCCGGAGGCCGGTGGAAATGGGGCAGCATCAAAGCTCCCCCTAAGGAAAAGCAGTCGGCAATAAGGGGGAAATTGACTGGGGAAGGGGTGTCCACAGGATTCCCCGGAAGCCAGGCCTTCGGTCTGTTTTCAACAAAGGGTAGATCCCGTGGCCTCTGGAACTCAGTGTAAATCCACGTGCATGAGTCCAGTCCTAGAAGTCAAGCCGGGGTGAAAGCCCTGTGCGGCACTTTTAGCGTGGGACAGCAGTGGCTATACAGGGTTGCGGTTTTGTTTTATTCTGAACTTGGTGGACCCGCGTTCTTGTTAGCCTCAGACCAAATAAAGATTTTAAAAATTAAACAAGAAACAATCAAGCTGGGCCCTTCCTTTCCATCCCTACCAACCTCGGAGGGTCCTCTGTCCCAGCTGCTGCAGACACCAGGAGCCTCTTTCCCTACGTGAACGACGGAGGAGCGCCTGGCTCTGAAACGCAGCAGGCTTCTGAACAAAGGTGTCTGCGGCTTCAGAAACGCGGCCTTCGAAGGCCTGGGCCCGCCCTGGATGTCCCCTTCGGCCCGGGCGCACTCACGCGTCCCCGCAGTCGCCTGCAGCTCCCCGAGACCCGCCTCCGCGGGGTGGGCGGCGCAGTGGGGCCTCACGGCGCCAGGACCCCCACGCCAGAACAAAGGAATGCGGGAGGGGCTGGGAGCCGGCTGGCCACGAGCAGCCAGAGTCCAGCAGCCGCCCGGGGCGCGTCCCCCTCAAGGTCCCCGCCCGTCCGCGGCCTCCTGGTTCACAGACCTCGGCTGGCAGGGAGGGGCGCCCACCGGGTGGGGGCGAAGCGCCCCTGGAGGTCGCGAGCCGAAGGTGGCGCCGCGCGGCCCCCTACAGGCCCGGGGCTCCCGCCCGAGCTCACCAAGTAGGTTGGGGTCTGACGCTGGGGGCTTCTTGCAAAAGAACCGCAATCATTCAGAGTAACAGAATTTGTTCTAGAGATGAATCTCTATGATTTCCCCCCACTCCCTCGGCCCCCAAATCCTTCACACTTTAACTATTTAAATATTACGTTAAGGAAAGAAATGTTCATATGCATGTTATTATATACATGTATCTTCACATAACTACACCGCATAGGCTCCTAGAAAGAAACTAAATATCTGGGTACTTCACATATTCATGTACCCTCACATGAATAAAACTAGGTTATCCAGACAAAATACAATCTACTAACCCATATTTGTTTCCCATAAATCGTTGTCTGGAGGAAAAAAAATACGATGCGAAATAAACACTTCTGACCTCATTAGCTGTTGTATTTACAAAAGCCATGAACAGAAGATGACACTTGGCCATTCCCCGCTGTTCTCAGAGAACAGCAGTTTCCTAAAGTGTCCTTTAAAAAGATAAATGGGCGTCAGCATCCAGCAAACCCCTGGGCGCTGCGAAATGCCTTCCTAAAAATACAATCTTATCAAAGGTCTCCGAAGGCGTGGAGTTAAAACTACAGCAAATGGCCTTGAACTTGTATTTGCACACAGCCCTGGAGAAAACACCAGAAATAGCACCGAGGCCACAATTGTTAAAATGTGATAGGGCTAAATTTAGAAAATTTAGAAGAACGCACATTTCATTTAGGGCGAAAGACCCACATTTGGCAGCATGAGCTAACGCAATGCTTAGCCGCTTGTCTACTTTGCTGTTTAAAATATCCTTTAAAAAAACCCTGTTATAGTGACATCTTAAACGCTGAGATTGTTCTACTTTCTTTGTAGCAAGATTATAAAATCACGTAATTAGCTCCCTCTTTCTACTCTCACTGCCAGCAAATTCGGCAGTTACATAATGTAACATTTCCAGGAAACTATTATGTTATCTGTCTTGAGTCTGAAAAAGCAATGACAATAAGGTGAGAAAAAGGGCTGATCCGATGGAATGCATTACAATTAGGAAGCCCAGGGGATAAACGTCACAATGGTTGGTCCCAGATTTAAAAATAACAGCTCGGAACCTTTCAAGGAGCGACCCCCTCCCCCTCGCCTCCAATACCCAAGATCAGTATTCTACCCCCAGAAACACTTCTTTTCAAGTTGTGCAGACCGTTTTATAAACAGGTTTATTTGGGGTTGGTTATAAATGTAAATAACGATCCAAAGCCCAACGCTGCGCTAAAATTACCCGATCCTTCCACCCAGATGCGCACATTCCCACAACCGGCCCGTAGTCCGTGCCAACATTTCACCGTGGGCAGATTATGCAATATAAAAAAGGACAAATCCACAACCTTCCCGAGGGCTTGTAAAACAGGCTGAGGACAACAGGGTGAAAAAGATCCGTGAGCGGCGCCGACACCCACGGCCGCCCCACCGCGCCGCCTCCCGTTCCCTCAAGCCCGGTTGGGGCGCCCTGAGCTCGGCCTCTGCCCGGCGCGTCTGTGCTCCTGTGGGAGGGCGCAGCCTGCCGGCGCCCGCTCCGCAGAACACCGGCGTTCCCGAAACCCCGGAACATTATGCAATAGCAAGGGGCGAGCCCGCCGGACTACGTGAGCCGCCGCACTCGCACCGCCGCCTCTGGGCAGCGAGTCCCGAGCTGACAGGGCAGCAAAAGTTTCCGGAACGCGCGCCCCGCGCCTCCGGCGCCGCCGCGGCGACCCCGCG